AATATAGTTATTAATGAAAATCTAAGTTTGCCTCAATCAATTCCCTTTTTATAACAACATTATGTATTTTCCTCTTCTACGATTCTACCATCTAGCTACTAACTAGTAAATCAATCAAAACAGATTAAAACATGGTAGATACATGTATTTATCAATCAATATCAATATATGGATTTTATTTATATTTATATTTTAATTAGGCAAGTAGAGTGACATAAGATTATTAGGTCACCACACGTATATACTAATAAGGAAAATTAGTAACTTATAGTTTTAAACTCTTCTACTTATATATAAGCAATAACATTATCTTGTGCCATCCTACAATTTCTTCTTCTATCTTGAAAAAATAATTCAACTCTTTAATTTCTGACATAATTCAAATGGTGCAAATTGAGGCAAATACAGCCAAAAAGGGAAAGATAAAGCTTCAACAAGAATCTTAGTTCTACTTGACAATTGTTTAATATAATTTCCCCCCCCCCCCCCTTTTTTTTTGAAATTAATAGTCCATTTCATTTGGTATAATAAGGTAAACAATAGATAATTATTTGTTCATCTCATAGATTAATTTGTAAGCAATGCATGTCTCATGCAATTGTACTTACTATCACTTCTTTAACTTCCTTTTTTTAAAAAAAAATAAATAAAATTTGTTGGTATTCATTGTTGCTTACTACTACCATTTAAAAGAAGTGATGTAATGTGAACACTATATATAGTGGTAAAATTCTTTAAAGGGAAGAGGGATGCAAAAAATATACACCTAATAATCTACCATTTTTTTTATTTAGCTTCTATTTAATATTTATTCATCTAGTATTTTTGAAATTACAAAGGTGAAGAAACTATTCTTCCCGTCTCATTTTCTTAACTAACACCTAATCTTTGCTATTCATCCAAGCTACGGTTTGGACGATCTATATAAGTGTATAGGCCCCTACTTGTGATAAACAAATGATAATGCATTTAAAAAGTAAAAAAAAAAATGCATACTTTCTAATAAAAATACAATATTATGGACATTGATACGAGAAATTCCTTAATCAATTACGTTATTAGGAGGGAATTTTGTGTGATCAACTTTATATGTCGAACGATTCTCAATAAGATTTTAATCGGAGAGTGTAGGGTCAAAATAAGTCTATTATTAGAAGGGGCGGCCATCAGAATCTAGACGCATTAGCTAAGCCTTAGTTAGAAAGCACACAATCATTCTCATTACTCAACTACCCTTATTAAACCCTCTTTTCAAGAACAACAAGACATTAGCTTGATTTTCTTTTATACAAATGCGATGATTTAGGTAAATAAATTCAACTTAAGTCTCTAATCATGACTTTTGTGCTTGTTTCACGTTCATTGAATGCAGTCATATACATTGCACGCTTGCAAAAATCGTTTTAATCTAATTAGTTAGACAGTAAGCTAGATTACTATTCACTTGGGAAAAAAATAAAACTTTTTCTTGTATTAGGCTATAATTATCAATATTATAAAGGAAAATTTGTCAGAAACAACCTTTTAAAGTGTCCACTTTATTTAAAACAACCTTTTAATTTTTATTTTTTTTGCAATTTCAGACCAAATTATATCTTTTTTTTATCAAAGACAACCAAATGTTACTTTCCGACGTTGACTCTATTTTTCCCGATGTTGACCACGAGTGTGCGTGCCACATGACCTCCTATATTGCTTAATACACCCTTTTTCCCTCCAATTAACTCCTATTAAAACTCCTGTTTCTCTTTCATCCCTCTTTTAGTACGAGTGAATTGGAGGAAAAATTGGTGTATTAAGCAATATACGAGTTCACGTGCGTTGCACACTAGTGGTCAACATTGAGAAAAATAGAATCAACGCCGGAAAGTAGCATTTGGTTGTCTTTGATAAAAAAAATTATTATGTGGTCTGAAATTGCAAAAAAAAAAATTAAAAGGTTGTTTTAAATAAAGTGGACATTTTATAAGGTTGTTTCTTACAAATTTTCCTATTATAAAACTAACGCTTGTCTACCTCTGTCTCTATTAGATTGTTCCACCTTTAGGTACGGTTTTTAAAATAGAGTGAAAAAGCAGAGCGGAAAAAGCTAGTTAATGAATGTGTAGTCCAACTTTAAAGAAAAAAAAAATACTTATTCCGTGTCAAATACTAATAAACAAAGCAAAATAAACTATAGGTAGAGAAGTGATTATTGTTGGCAATAAACTTTGATTTGCAAGAATCAAAATCTTCTCTTCCATCAAATTCAAAAGAGGAAAATAAAATGATTGTCCTAGGTATTATATAGGACAGTTGTAAAGGCTAAATGATTCAATTAATTCTTCTTGTTATTCCAGGAGAAAATTGTCAGCATGCTAGAATAATTAAGTACAACCATAATATATAGAGTATATACTTAAATTTTTTTATACTTAATTAGTACCAAAGAATATTTTTATTTTTTAAAATTATAGTACATGGCATCTTTTAGTATAACTGAAGAAACCTCAACTAACTACTTAATTAGAGTAGTTTAATTTAAATTAATTAACTTGCAAAGTCGAATTTCGATAAGAGTTTGTAGGGGACCATAAACCGTAGATCAGTTTTTGGAACTGCTAAAACTTTTGCACAATTTGTAAACATTTACGTACCATTTTATTATATTTTGTGCATGTTGATGATAAAAAGAAGAAGCAAAAGTAAACAAAATTTCATGAAATGAGTGCCAAAAAAAAAGATAACAGGAATTTCCGCTGCTGAGGAACCTTACAGGATGGAATATTATGGTGATGAGCTAGCTACCAATTTTATAACATGAACAAACATTATATTAACATAATGTACATAACAAAAGACTATATTGATCATGCTAAGCTATGTCGTCTAGCAAACAGATAGATCGATCGATGGACCACACGCCTTTTTTTGCTTTGTAATCGTATATATATATATATATATATATATATGATCTTGTGTAGGTCTGTCATTAGACCGAAAACTATATGGTATATGATCAATAATAAAGATGTCTTAATTTTAATCCGTTACATGTAGGATGAAGAACATGTCTTGTTTGTAATATAGCTAGTATGTAGATGATTTTCGAACTAAAATTGGCATCTTTGACTTAGAATTATTTGAGGTTAAAGTGTATGTGATAGTATAAAGAAGAACCTGTTTGTTAAGAAAACTAAAAGTTTTTATTTTTGAATGATTTGATATGTATCATCAGCTGGAAAATGAAATTAAAGGGTGATGATATCTTTGTATTATGCATAGTATGTGACCATATATTGACTGTGTGATGGGACCTATGTATAATAAGGTTTGTCATGTTGTGACAAGTTTAATTAATTTGTATAATAAGGTTTTTCAGGTTCCATACTTGCATTACGTCAAGGTATGTTTCTTAAGAATGGGTCACCATACTTCCCCCCATCATAGCAACAAGTTATAGGGTGGAGGGCATGAGGAATGATTATTGTTTTTTCGCGTATAGAGTCTATAGACTTAGCTTTCCGTTCGCTTATAGGGTATTTTGTGGTAAAATTAATTATTTAAAGTCGAAGGTACATGATTTGGTTCTCTCTGCCTCATTTAATTTAATTATTTTCCATGCAAAAAAATATAAATTTCAAATAAATTGTGTTCAATTAGTTGCTTAGGCCATGGCTTAGAAGTTCACACAAGTAAAGTTATTTCATTTAATTTCTTAAATACAATATATAATTGTAATGAATTAAGGATAAGGTAGTAAATTTAGGTGAAGAGAAAGACTCTAGAAGATGTATGGACACTCATGCATGCATGGGGAGACATTAGTCAAAAATCTGGACCAAGATTTTAGTGGTCCATCTCTAATCATAGCCTGAATGATTTGATGAAAGTTTCAAAATGGCGAAGGATTGAAATTTTTTTCAACAGTCATCATTAGATAATAAAATTTGGGATCAATACCTAAAATATAGAAACTGCAAAAAAAATAAAATTTGGGATCAATACCTAAAATATAGACTGTAAAAAAATAAGGAGCATGAGTTTATTGAGGAAGGATCTATCAAATAGTGGGACTCCATCCAAAATACTCCTCTTCTATGATGACTTTCACAAAATATTACTAGTGGACAAACTATTTCCTTTTTCTCTTAGGGTCTGTTCTGATTGACTGAAATTAATTGAGCTAAAGTGAACTGAACTTAACTTAACTGAAATGAACTTAATATTTTATGAGAGAAGGCAATTATGAACTAAACTGAACTGAAAATAATCTGAATAGAACATGCCCTTATTTGTCGCTATTTTAAAGAATAAAAATAAAAATAAAAATAAAATAGGGTGTATTGAGTTCTTACTTAAGTGTATTTTTTTGTAGGATTGTGAATAAGAAACGAAGTGAATAAATACTAGTATATTTTTTTAAAAAAGTAATAAAGGCAGTATATTAATTTAATTGAAAAAAGGTTAGTAAAATCAAAGGGACAAAAAAACAAGAAAATTGAAATATTTTTTAAGGAACGGAATGGAGTATATACGAGTTCAACCTATAACTTAAGTTTAATTAAATCCACAAACGAGCAACTACACAACAGAAAGGGGTGGTGGCGCAGTTGGCTAGCGCGTAGGTCTCATAGCTTTCGTTGAGTAATCCTGAGGTCGAGAGTTCGAGCCTCTCTCACCCCATATTTTTTTTTCCTTGTTTAACATTTGTCTCACATACGCAATTGTTTTCACTTTTTAGGCTGCTTTCGCACTCCTTTTCCCAGCATTTCGAGTTTTCCAAATGTTTAACTTTATTATCATACGAAGTATATGGTATGAAAAAGTGGCCCTTCTGTGTATAGAAATATCACATGCAGAGTATATCATTCATCATAGTACTTTCTTTGTCATAGTTTGTCAACTTCAAGTCTTCAATCATAAATTTTATGAAATGAAACGATTATCTTCTTACAAATACCTTCTAAAAAATGCACTAGTAAAAATATTGTCAAAAACTGCCTAAATACATAGAGTAATGAGTATAAGTACATTTTAATTATTAAAGTCGAAAGGCAAGCCTAATACTTCTTTATTGTTGATAAATAGGTTACAAGTTGAATACATGCAAATCCAACATAAGTCTACAGTTTTAAAAACACAAAAACAGGAAACTGGACCTTTCGAGAAGGTGACTAAAGAAGCTGATGATGAAAAACAAGGCTACAAACTAAACATCTAACTAATCTACTAAGTACATAGGCAATTATGAAGGAGCACCAAGGTAAGAGGCCAAGCGCAAAATGTCACTGAATACTCCACCAGCTGTAACCTCGGCTCCAGCACCAGGGCCTCGAACAATGAGAGGCTGCTCCTTGTACCGCTCAGTGGTAAATAAGATGATATTATCTGACCCTGAGAGCTGAGCAAACGGGTGATCTTTCTTGTAGCTTTTCAACTTCACAAGTCCCTTTTCGTTGGTCACATCCACCACTCCCACATATCTTAGAACCTTTACACATGAATTCCAAATTTCAGCAAATATAAAATGTGAACAAAGCAGGAGTGAGAACTAAGATTTATATGAATAAACTTAATAGTTTTGTATTCATAATTAATAAAGTGTGAAAACTATGAATACTCACCTCTCCTGCGTCATCAGCGGCTTGCAATTTGTTAGCCCAGTCTTCATCAAAGTGAGGAAGCTGCTGCATGAATTCCTCGGCTGATTCAATAGCCTGAAGAGATATACAGGTGTTAGACCATATTCAGCTAAAACACGCTCCCCACCCGGTACATAAACCCCCCCGCCCCCTCTCCCCGAACCGCCCCACTGTTTCCAAGCAGAGCTGCAAGTTGACTCTTAAGCAGTGTTGGGTTCTAGCTTAATATATAAAATGAGTTATTTTTAATAAACTCCCTTTTTTTAGATGCCTCTCTCTCTCTCTCTCTCTCACATCTCCAAAAAGTGATGCATCTAAAATTTGGAGGAAGTATAGAAATCAGCTAATAGACTACAAAATCGGAAAGGGTGGAGATGAAGGGTGAGAGAGGAGAAGGTTGGGCATTGTGCTTCATGGTTAATCATTTCAACCATTGAGGATATTATTTTCAGCCTATCAGGTGCCTAAAGAAATAATAAAAGCTCAATGACTTCTCCTGGAATTTCACCCAGCCAAAAGCCCAACTATAACCTAATAAAAAGTTAATACTTACTCTTAATGGTTCTGGAACAAGGCTTTCAGGAGGTATATCCGAAAGTTCAAGCTTCATTCCACATTCTCTTGCAAGAATTATAACCTGCCACATGAAGCTTCTGTAAGAAAACAAACTGCTGAGCTTATAACAGCAGGAAGAGCTTGTATGCAAAATTATAACTTGACTTCCCCCTATAACCCACCCTAAGCATGTTGATCCTTACAAACAGTGATTTATTTCAGATAGACACAAATTTACAATAGTATTACATTTGTAACCCTATCAGATGCTGAAGAGATCAATCTCATGATATTTCACCAATCACGAAGATAAATCAGGTAGAGCGCAGCAACTCTATATCTCAAAAGGATGGATATAACAAGTTTCAGTATCACATTATAATTATGAAAAGTTTATTTTCCCCATTTAGCTCGGAAACAGCTCATGTCACAGAAACAAAGGCATTTTATTAATGGGAAAACCCCTCAAGTCCAGACTCCCAGCCATTTCTGAGCTTCAAAGGGCCATATTGAAGGGGATTCGGAAATGGGGAAACCTCAGGTGTCAGAAGTTTCCATGCTTCCTAGTTACTAAGTAGGTCAAGCAGCTGCTATCTTGTCACCTGAGAGGAATCAGGAAGGCTTAGCACAGTTGACACTTTGAAGTTTGAACCATGCAAGGATTTCCAGTACACAATTAATTACCCTTTACTGGAACTAGTCATTTAGCTTCCAAAAAGAAGAGAGACATAAGCAAGGGGGCTTGTTTTTTTTTTTTTTTGCAGCATAAGCCCTATTTCTGATAGATACGAGATCCCAAATTTTAATGGATCCCCTCAATTAACATACCAAATTATTTAGCTCAGATAAATCATTCACTGGTTAATAATCAGAATTAGCAGCATACATATGCCACATCAGCAATTTGAAGCCGTGGATCAGTATATAGCCTGGTTTGTTTAACTATGTTCACATACTAGTGTTTACCTTTCTAGCAACATCTGTTCCAGAGAGGTCATCCCTAGGATCAGGCTCTGTATAACCAGCTTGTTTTGCCTCAGTCACCACCTCACTGAACTTTCTTCCACCTTTGAACTTATTGAATATGTAGCTTAAAGTTCCACTGCAATGAAAGTAAGTAATGAAAATCAAGAAACAGACTTTAAAATGTGCATAAAGAGATAGCTTCAATCCTGTTTTTGTTTCGTAAGCGCGTGTGAGGTACAGGGGTGCACAGAACAATAAAGAAGTATCGATCCTAAGATTCCTAACAGTTGAACCACAAGTGATTACCTGAATATACCCTCAATGCTCAATATTTTATCGCCGGTTTCAAGAAGACCTCTTAAAGTACTGATTATCGGAAGACCCGCGCCAACTGTAGCTTCATAAAAGTAATGCGTATATGATTGTCGTTGCAGAGATCTCAGCTTCAAATACTACATTGATTATGCAAAACAGGCTATTAGCCAAGTATTCAAGTATTACAATTTGTATGAATGATTTATTTAATATTGTAAATTAAGATAAATTTGCAAAGAATAACCAAAAGCAATGTAATAAAGAAAAATATAATCTGTTGGACGAAAAAACTGCCTGATTATGTTACACTATATATTATGATAAACCAAAGATGTGCAGCAGAAAATGAACAGTCAACCAAGTACACCCTCAAATCCTCAATCACGATACCCAAAAGTGACATTAAAAAGGCCATTCAGCACAGCAGTTTAGCTACAGGAAAATCTTTACCTGATCAAGAGGTCCAGAATTTGCTTTCTTATTGGGAGTAATTATATGAATTCCTTTACGCAACCAATCATAATAATGGCTTGCAATATAAGAGTCAGCCGTACAATCGACTAACACAGTGTTTGGGATAAAATGATTCCCATGAACATGCTGAACAAATTTCTGCATGTCAGCAGTTTGCCCTTGTTCACTTTGCTGCTCCTTCCAATTATACAAGTCAATACCCCTACAATTGAGAAAGAAGATAGAAATAGAAACTTGTAAGGTTCTTAACAACAAGAAAAACACGGTCACCTGGTTGAAACAGGGTACGGGCAAACTTAATGGGTCAACTAAAAGACAATGTCATTCAGAAGATATGAAGTGCAATCACTGTAGAAATAATCTGAACTATGTCCTTCCATCCAACTAACTCTAACATAAAAATTCCTGAACCATGGAAAAATACTAGTTAAAATAAGCTTGCAACTCCTAAAAACCTCAGATAGTCCCAACCCTCAGTTTAAAATAAGCTAGCAATTCCTAAAAACCTTGCCTGTATGCAATAGCTTGTTATACGAACAGTTCCACAAAATGGATAAAAAGACCATGTTAAGTCAATACCCTATCAGACCCATAATTTAAGTTATTTTAGAAATCTTCACACATATTAACAAAGTTATTTAATTTAGCAAAATTTGAATTGGTATTGTAAAGTAGCACTTTATAAAAAAAATGACTCATAGATGTGTTATAATAACACTAAAAAATTGAATTGAATTAAGTATAAATGTATAAGTTGACATATTTTCAATATATGTCAATTTATTTACAAATGCAATATTATCAGCTAAAAAACCTTATAATTTGGATCGGAGAAAGTAGTGATAGTAGTAAGTTTAATTTAACTACTATGGTGTCGCGTATGGTATCAGAAAAATCCAGCAACCACAGCAGAACAAAGAAATTGAATTGCATTGATTCTTGTCCACATAGGCCACATTCCAATACTGAAATGGGATTTATTAGATTAAAAACTTACGAATCAGAAAGAAGCATTTTCTTTGAGCTTGTGATTCCCATAACACGCAAATCAATGTTAAACTTCTCCTTTAATTCAGCTGTCTGTGACATATATCAACCACAACCACATTCTAAAGTGAAATTCCATCTAATTTCAAACTTTAACAAAAAGGATTACAGAAAGGGAAGACAAAATTTGCAACTTTGCAAGTGTTCACATTAATTCACCTGATCACGAAGTTGGTCAAGCAGAGTTGCCCCAATTAATCCTGGCCCAATGATTCCCATGGAAAGTGTCGTCCTTGAGAGATAGAATCTGGAATGAACAGCCCTCAGGGCTTTAATACAATCATCCCTTTTGACTACCACAGTAATGTTGTATTCAGAACAGCCTTGTGCTATAGCACGAATATTAATATTGGCCTGCATACATTCAAGTTAATCACAATAATTTTTACACAATATATGTTGAAGAAGACAAAAAATAATATGAAAGCCTCAATGACAGAATTGAAAGATAAGAAAGAAAATATTCATATACAAATTACTAGCATTTGCTAACCTTTGCGAGTGCGTTAAAAAGAGTGGCACTGACTCCGGGTGTACTGGCCATTTTCTGCCCAACTGTTGCCAAAATGCTGCAGTTTGGGATAATAGCAACCTGAAAAGAGCTCCACTAGTTTAGAAAATAGCATTATGAGCAACAAGCCACCAAAACAATTATCGGACATGCATGTTGCAAACATGACTAAAATAGCAAATGAGGAACCTGAGAGAGACGTCCAGCATCTAAAGCACGATTAAATCGAGACCGCAGAGCTTCAGCCACAGAGTTTACTTCCTTCTCGGGGACAGCAAAGCACACCGAATGTTCACTACTTGCCTGCATTATATATAAACATGTGAACCTAGCACATTCAGTTTCTAGCCTCCAAATCTCACTACTCACTAGTCCATAATAAGTAATAAGCTAGAAGAAGCCTAAGAGATGATGACAATGTCTGTCCAAGACCAAAACATAATAAAAATAAAATAAAAAATAAAAAACTGAACCTCACAAATTCCTAGAGAGGAGAGAAAGAACAAAGGCCAAGTACCTGAGAGATCATGATAACATTAGCCCCTACATCCTTCACAGTACTGAAAATGGCACTAGCAGTACCAGGAACACCAGCCATACCAGTACTGTCAAGCACAAATTGGATTGTCCAAGTTAATTGGGAACAGTAACAAAACAAAAGGACATAGAGATAGGCCATATTGACAAATATTATCTTACCCCTCAACATTTACTAGGGCCAGATTATCTATTGTTGCAAACCCTTTAACGGGAGATTGCAGATGCTCGCCATTCTCGTCAGCAGAAGGACGACATATCTTAGTTCCAGGAGCTGATAGGTTGAATACATTTCTTATTACAATTGGAATGTCATATCGCATCACAGGAATGATTGTCCGAGGATGTAATACATTAGCCCCAAAGTATGACTGCAGGCAAATTAAATTAACAATTTAAATACCAAGGAGGCAGGGATGTTTAGGTAATGGCAATCACTCTTTAAATAAGAGTCAAATATGTATATATTATTCTATTGTAAAGCTTAAAGAAAAGAAAAGCCACAAATTTTGTTAATTATATACCACAAAATTTTACAAGCACAGTAAGAAAATTAATGAGTTAAAAACCTTACCATCTCCCAAGCTTCTTGATAAGACAATGTGTGGAGTATCACAGCTTCACTCACTGCAAATAAATTGATATCAACCATGAGAGCATTGTGGCTAGGATAAGACCCAGAAAAATGAAGAAATTTAAGTTGAGCAAGTGCAGACCTTTTCTCGGATCAGCACTGTAAACACCATCAACATCTGTCCAGATTGTAACTTGACCAGCTCTTAAAAGAGCACCCATTATAGCCGCAGAAAAGTCACTTCCATCCCTCTTAAGGGTAGTTGGAATGTTATCAGGGGTCGTGGCTATAAAGCCAGTTGCTATAATGATACTTGATGGGTTATTGGAAAACCATTTGTCAAGTCTTCTTTCAGATTCGGGAAAATCTGGATCAACTTGATTTGAACTAGTTGGATTTACAACAAGGACATCCCTGGTATCCATCCATGTGCAATCGTACCCTTTCTGTGCATTGAGAAATGGAACCAGAGAAAAGGTTGGAATTAAAATAATAATCACATAATTAATAATTATCTAAACAAAGAATAACAATGAGGAAAACCTGTTTAATGACAAGTGATAGCATCTGTGCGGACCACAACTCTCCATATCCAACGACAAAATCAGTGAATGATTCTGTAGCATGACCAGCTGTAAAAGAAAGTAGAAATGAAAAATCAGATATTTAGGCTTATAAGATTTTACATATAGAGTATCATCTAAAATCAAATGTATTTTTGTTAATGAAAGGCAAGTGCACTGTCAAAATCAGTGAATGATTCTGTAGCATGACCAGCTGTAAAAGAAAGTAGAGATGAAGAATCAGATATTTAGGCTTATAAGATTTTGCATATAGAGTATCATCTAAAATCAAATGTATTTTAGTTAATGAAAGGCAAGTGCACTGTCAAAAAACATCATACTTAAATTTAAAGACAATCACAAACATTGTATCACCAATATAAGAGCTTCGATGAGTTCTTGCAGAAATGCTGCACAAGTGTACAACCATATAATGCGTGAAATGGGAAAAATACCACTTTTGTTGGTTATATGGGTATGTCGTACCAATTTTGAAATGCAAGAAACAGCACATAAAACTAACAAGGTAAAAGACATTGGTGCATTTTCTAGACTTTTCATCAAAATATATATGCAAGAAAGCCTAAAAAGTATAAGATTCACTCATACCTATGTATATTGCACGAAGCATTGCTTTAAGATTATTTATATCATCATGAAGCCTTGATAAGAAGCTAAGAAGGTCATCTCCCTCCAACATATCTTTTGCTGTTGATGTGTGCTTCTCTAAAACAGCATCCAACGCAGACTGAAATGACTCATCCCGTGACTGTGCCCTTTTGATTAAGTCATACATCATGTCAGTCACCTTCGACATGGCAGACACAACCACCAACTTCCTCTCAGACACGTCTTTCACAACTATTTCTGCAACACTCTTTATTCTGTCGGGGCATCCAACACAAGTCCCACCAAATTTATGAACAGACCACATGTCACCTTTAGGCAACGCAACCTTTTCAACCACAGCCTCTAAAGAAGCAGCTGCAACAATGTATAACACCAATAAGAAAGTTGCACATCATCTTGCCAAGTTACTTATAGTAAACTAGTTCATTACTACAACTATTAGTCTATTTCTAACTATTCTACTAAGGAACATGATTAACCTTTGGTAGAGGCATGAACGAAACCAGGATATTGCCACCGCTTTCCCCATTTTGATACCAAAGTCTTTCTGAAATACACGAAAATCATCAGAACATAATCACTAAGCACATTTTCAAGAGTTCGGATTTCATAGAATCCAGAGTTTCAATATGCCAGGCTATCCTAACAACAATTAAACCCTTTTAAAAAGGGTAAAAATCATCTTCAGCAAAAATTAGTCTTAATCAATCAACAAATCAGTAAATTCAAAACCATTTCAATTTAGCAAATCCAATTTGTAAAATCCTGCTAATTGAACAAGGCATTACTCTTTAATCCATGGAAAATCAATAAATTTCCCAAGTGCATAAACAAATTAACGTCGTTTAACATCTCCATTCTAAATTCTTCGGAATCACACTGTTCTATTTAGGAAAAAAAATGTTCAATTTCACTTGATTAAAATTTCAATGTCAAACCACAGAAAGTATAAATAACAATAAAAACAGCATTATATTGGTAAATTGCAAAATATCTGACAACAGAATATTCATACATTATCAAGCAAAAAGCAGATTCCACCACCAAATTAGGATTCCAAAATCGACTTTTATCACTCAATTAATTAATTAAATAATCAATCAATTCAATTCATAAAAAACAAGCTCAAAAACAGAAAAATTCAACAAATTAAGCACGCAAACATAATGAACACAAAATTCAAATCAAGATCAAAATCAAAATCAAAGTACAGAAAACCAAAAGAAAAAAGGCGGAGAAGAAATGAAAGAACCTGGAGAGAGGAGAAGGGTGGAGGAGAGAGAAAAGAGAAGGACGAGTAGAAGAAGGGAGAGAGAATCTGGAGAGGTTGATATCGGAGCGAGACAATGTGTTGGAGAAGACGCCATTAGAGGAGGAAACTGGAGATATCGAGGAAGAAACCACCATGACTGAGTGTTGGTGGGTTTGGGGTTTTACGGCTGCGTTTTTCTGTGTTTCTGATTGATGGTGGCCAACAAATCGAAACACTGACTTATTAATACTCTTAATTGATTTATGATACGAGAGTACTTTGTAATATAGTTATGGAAATGAGTCAAGGTGGACCAATTTGGTAAGGTAGAAGCTATTCAATGGAGTTAAGGGGCATCGAGTGAGTTTACTAAATACTTGTCCGTATTAGAGTTGGGCATGGATTGAGTTGGATTAGTACAAAAATAGTTTGACTCAATTAAAGCTCGCCGTATTTTGGTTGGCCATGAACCGTGCATGGATATTATTTTTAAAAATTTATCACGGAGTATGATTTTGACTTGGTGACGGGATTATCCATGAGTTGGGCCATTTACTTTTGATCTATTTACCAAAAAAATTATAAATTGTTAAATTGGCATGTTGACATGGTGAGATATGTGGATCAAGCCTTTGCATGAGCTCCGTTTTTTAAAAATCAACACAAACCCGCATGAAATATCTATTTGCTTGGCTTATTCTAAGGGCATCCCGCTTGAGCAAGTAGCACATTAGTATATCTCGTTCCCACCTCCAATTGTATCAATTAAGTTTGTCTGCCTAATGTTAATTTTTCCTATTTTTGTTTGCATACTCATACTCAGTATCAATAAGTATTTGTTTGAAAACAAAACTAATATATTAATTAAAAAGTCATGCTACATTTACAAGAGAAATCAAAAGTAGCAAATACAAACTTTGTTGGATCAAATATGTTCTAGACTTCTAGTTAAGCAAAACCACGGCCGTTGTCGATGAGGTCTAGCATTTTTTAATACCCTCTTTCACTTCGTTGCTTGATACATCTTCTACATGGAGTCTTTCAATATAATTTTGAAATTGAACAAATTTGATTCAATTGATTGCAGTACTAGAATTGACCTATGTCGCTACATCGCATAAATCCTCATCAACAAATCGATTCATCCTGCATAATTGAAAAAAAAACAAAAAAAAAACACATTAATCCAACTATCATAAGACAATAGATAAAACTCAAATTATGAATAAATATAACGGATATTTCATGAAATGCCACTGAGCAATTTAAAAATTCACCAAATGCCATCGGACTTTTCAAAATTCACAAAATGCCACCGAGTTTTAAAAAAATTCACAAAGTGCCATTATTGTCTAACGGCTTTAACTCCGTTAATAAATAGGGCTTAATCATGACACATGTGGACACGTGTCAGTCAACTATTGGTTTAAAAAAAAGTAAATTAAATTAAAATTTAATTTATTTATTTTTTTTTAAAAAAAAAAAATCCCCCTTAATCCCCCTTTCCTCCTCCCACTACCATAACCACCAGCCAAAGCCAGCACCCCTTCCCGACTCCAGCACCCCTTCCCCTGAACCACCGTCACGCCAACCCACTCCCACCATCCCACCACCCCGATCGCCTGCCAGCCTTTCAACCCCAGAGCGACACGTCGTGCTGCCCCGATTGTCGTACCCCTCCCCTTGAACGTACTGACCTCTATATCCCTCCCCCTGAACCACTAAACACCTTCGAATCCTCTCCGTCAGATTTTGAAGGCAACCTCGACATTATCCCTAACATCCCCGTCATCCAACATGATCCAAATGCCTCCCCTTTCACCGGAGCCGCCGTCGCAACTGGCAATTCTGCCCCACCTAACCCACCGTCGACCCCAAAAACCACCCACACAAACTGCCACGAGCATCAGCAGAGTTCGAGTGAAAGTGTTGTTGAACAATTTGATTCCCCTTTGATGGGTTCGACAGCGTGAACTATTAAAGGGGTTAAACTAGGGAAATAATGAGGGCGAAGGAGTAAAATGGAGGAGGAGATTACCTTTTCTAGGACATCGGGAACTGTGGTGTGAGGTAAGAAGGCGGAGATTAAGGTTGAGCGCCGCCAATTCTTGCACACCAATCTGGAATTCTGCAAATCCTTGGTTTTAAAAAGTAATTGAGCGATTGATTGAACTATTTCGATGGGTAGATTTGACCAACTCCGACGTTTATTGGTGGTTTTTGGGGTTGGGGCGGCTGTGTGGCGAGCTCTGATCCGATGGTTGTTGCGGTGGTGAGCTCTGGTTTCAAGGGCGGAGGAAATGAGTGGTTGCGCGGTGGTGATGTTGTTGCCAAAGCTCGTACTCGATGTTGGTTTTTGGGGTCGGGGCAGTTTGTGTGGGTGGCTTTGGGGGTCGGCGATGGGTTGGGTCGGGGCAGTTTGTGTGGGTTGCCGAGTTTTGGTGGTTAATGTGGTGGCCGTCCGTTTTTCGGCGAGATAAGGGCAGGGGCTAGGGTTTGGCGATGGTGGGGGTGGCTGGGAAATTTTTTGGGTTTTTTTTTTAATTTTTTGTTTTTTTTAATTTTTATGAATTAAGATAAATGGACCAATTATATCATGACATGTGTCATGATTAAGCCCTAGTTATTAACGGAGTTAACTCCGTTAGACAATAATGGCACTTTGTGAATTTTTTTAAAAACTCGGTGGCATTTGGTGAATTTTGAAAAGTCCGATAGCATTTGGTGAATTTTTAAATTGCTCAGTGGCATTTCATGAAATATCCGTAAATATAACCCAAAATTAATAGGAAAACTATCCATTATAGCTAGAGAATAGAGGTTTATAATGAAAATAAAATATTTATAAGAAAAAAATTATTATACTCCGTAGTAAATAAATAAACCAAAAATTAGTAGTTTACCAAATATTGCTTGTGTTTAAGGGAGGAAGAGCATACCAATTTAAAAAAGGATTAAAAAAAATGGTTCACAAGCATCTTCATTAGAAGTCCAAGCTCGAGTTCAACGGCGCACAAACCCACAAGCCACAGCTAGAGTGAGCTTCAACCTTTAGTCATCCTCGCCGATGGTTGAACATGAATACTCCATACAATGTTGGATACTATTATATTAAGGTCTCTAGTCACTCCCTAGGTATGGGGATTGAATCATAAAATCTATAGTTATAAACTTATAATACATCGGTTTATATCTATTAATTTTCCACCACCCTTATAGTTGTGATCAGCAAGATATCTCAAGAAAGTCGAGACTAATGAAAGTATCTCCAGCTCTTGCAATGCAGCACTTCATCTGTTCTCACTTAAGGCGGTATATGAAATAAAGACCTATGTTACACTAAACATGAGATATACTAAGAGGAGTGGATGATATAACATCCAAGACGATTATGATGAAACTAGAAGATATACAAAAACAAAAAACCTTTTAAGAGCTTTGTCATATGATTATACATATAGATCAGCAAGCTAACTCTGATACTCTAAAAACAAAAGGATAGCCTAAACACAACCCAGTCTAGAACCTGTACTGGGGCCCCTCTCACCCCTCTTACTCTAAATAAGCAGTTAAAAATGAGGGTCACTCATATACAAAACTCAGCTCGAGAGTATTTAAACCACTCCGGGCTATCCATAGGCCAAAGCAAGCCATGAACAAGAAAACAACAATAACTACCTTAATCATAAGCACGGGTGCTGACCTCTTAAATAAACTATGATTTTTATCAGCTCGGCCTTCAGAGTTGTCAGCACATTGCTTCTCACAAACTTCCTCTGACAAGCTCCTAATCTCAGTAACAGATGGTTTAAACACGTCCGCCTCAGCGATGGAAGTATATCGCTTCTGCAGGCGGATTCTCCTCTTAGCAGTTCCCTGCTCCACAGATTTAGCTGCACTTGGCCGAGATCTCTGAAGATGGGTTCTTATCTTGATTCCGGTTTCAACAACTTCGACATCATCCAAGCATGATTTATTTCCATCTGCTGCAACAGAATTTTCAGCAAGATCTTCTAAGCAGATAATATCCTCATGAGGAGCTATTCCCGCGGTGACAGTTGAGTCTGAATCTTCACCCTTGAAAGTTTGTAAGCGTAATCTTCTATTTGCAGTTCCTTGCCCTGCAAAATTATTAGAAGACGGAAATTGTCTATTACAGGCACGAGACCTTATCGTGATTGCATTAGTTCCACCAATTTGATTGTGATCTTCAGTCTTCATAAAGCTGCCGCTAACAAGTGTTGGGGGACAATTATTTGGCTGTACGATGCTAGTATCGCCAAGGAACCGATACAGAACATCATCATCAAAGATACTATCATCATCAGCTAACGGGTAATTCTGATTAAGTTCCTTGTCACCAGTAATGCATCCAATAAATCCTACATCATGCTGCACAACAAATTAGCAATATCAGTGTATCCATCCACAACCACCACATATGATTGTCATGACACATGCAAAACAAACTGCACATAGTACAGCCACCACTGAGAGCCGATGCTTGGCAAGCATGCTACACACCAAACAAAAACTTAGTGACCAAGCAGCCAATCTGCCAAGTGATAACACCGCAAAAAGGGGTCTAAACAATGATCAGTCTTATTACTTTATTACTGAAATAAGGTGGCTCCGGTAATACACCAATGCACCTTGGTGGGATGGGCACACAAGTAATTTTATTAAGTAAAATGCTATACATAGCCCTTAGGGCTACATATAAGCATATAAAATACTCTTGAAAATTGTTTAAATTTAAAAAATCATAACAAATTCACACTAACTACACTGATCTACGCGTGTTTTTGTCATGAATTCCTAATTTTATACAATTTTCTAGAGTGTTATTAATGCTTATATATAGCCCTTAGGGCTATGTATAGCATTACCCTTTTATTAATTGACTCCATCAAGGGACATAGACAAACCAGGATATCTAGGTGTTGGTTCTTAGTACAAAGAATATGCATATTTAAGGAATCTCATTCTCAATCTCAGACCTATTCCTGAACAGAGTACTAAAGTAGGCTTCTTTTGGGCAGCCAAAAAAAAAAATTTGATATTTTCCCCAATTTATTGATTCCCGCTAATACTATCGCTCCCTCTTATTATTCTCATTCAAATTGACCTACAATCTGTTAGATACAGAAGACTAGTGGTCTAAAATATTAGGAATTTTATACATTTTATCATTGAAGTTATTTAGATCATTTAATTAATTATCCAAGCCAGTAGTTTGACTTTACAATCAATCCCCTGACCAAG